CTCGCAGTCAATGACCGCTCCAAACTTACTCAACCAGTCCATGCCCACAATGACACAGACATCTCCCATCGCGATAGGAACTAGGTCTATAGGGAACTTGACACCAAAAATCTCGAGTACGCATCCTCGAATCACCTCGGTGGCATATACCACTTTCTCATCAGCTATGGAAACCCTCAGGGGTCGACTCATCACCTCTCAATCAATACTGATGTGCTGACTAAAAGCCAAAGATAAAAAAGACCGACTCGCACCCGAGTCAAATAATACCAAGGCAGGTACATAATTCACAAGAAAAGTACCTACGCATATCATAATATAAGCACAATATCTCAACATGAAAGTAAATACACGAAAGAATACATACAAGCCACAACATCGGGCGTTGCGCGGACCTCCTCCGCAGTCAACTGAAAAGCTATCCCACGAGCCTTTGGAGCCTCAGCCTTCGCCGATCGAATCTCGGTAACCCTAGTAGCAGGCGCATATCCCTGTGTTGATCCATGGTGAAGCTGAGGACACTCGGCCTTCCGATGGCCAGTCTGGGTGCAATGAAAGCAAACCATAAATCCTTTGGGGTAATCCCTAGCGATGTGCCCCTCCTTGCCATATTTGTAGCAAGCACCCGATCAACAGGCCCCCTCATGACCCTTACCACACTTTCCGCAAGTGCGGACCTTCTGACCTCCCGTCCTCGAATCGGCGGACTTGGTCCGCTTGGCTGTCGGTTGAGACTGAGCAGGCCGCCGATCCACCCGCTGAGACTCGGCCTCCTCCCTGGCCTGAGTCTCCAACTCGATCTCCCTCTTCCGGGCATTTTCCTGGAGCTCAGAAAATGTTTGGTATGTCGATTTTGATACGAACTCCCGAATGTCCCTCCTCAAAATACCCAAATATCTCCCTCTCATGAAACTTCCGGGTGACCACAATAACTGAATCATTACCTTGCTTGAGGGTCAAGAACTCATGAATCAACCGTTCCCTCTCCACTGGGGGAACATACTCGTCTCTGAACATGGTAGTGAATCTCTCCCAAGTCACTGCTGAAATCTCTGCAAGAGTGAAGTTCGCCGTTACGAACTTCCACCAATCCTTCGCCCCTAGGCGGAGCAGGTTCAAAGCGAACCGTACCCTCAGATGCTCCGTACATGAACATGTATAAAAGCATCCCTCCATGTCAGCAATCCACCTCATCGCAGCGATCGGATCCTGCGTCCCATCAAACTCGGGTGGCTTCATGTTGCTGAACTCCCGGAATAGCAACGAGTCACCTCCCTGAGGTCTGGCAGCAGCCACAGCTACCGTAGCTGTAGCGGCTGCAACCTCACTCACCGCGGCGTACCGCTCGTCGAAAGTCTACAACAGCATGGTCTTGATAGACCCAAACATCTCCGGAATCTCGGCCCGAATCACCACAGCCACCTCATCGTTGATCATCTGACGAAGCTCCTCGTCACTCACACCGCTCGTCCTAGGTCTGTGGTGTGTCCTAACCATAATGCCTCTCTGAAACACAACACAAAAATATCAGAGACTCCATCGAGCATACTCGCACTTGATAATGCAACCCTACTCGACCTCCGATTCCTAAAGGATTCTTACTTGGGCTGCCCACTGATCCGATGTCTTCAGTAGTACGGGCCCTATACTACTGACTACACCGCATCAACATTCACCCCAAGCCCTCCTCCTTGGACCCTGGATCCCGAGTACTCTATTTTTGCTATGCATTGGCTACCTACTCGCTCTCAAGAAATCTCACAGCAGCAGGATTCCCTAGACTAAGGCATCACAAATCAGGCCACTCTATTCCTAATATGAATACCTAGTCTACTCTAGCATGCATAACGTATCATAACATATCTCATAACATATATTGTAAGGGTGTTTTGGGGATGTTACCGTTCGGGTGCTGGCCGACCGTACACACTGCTCCTTCTTTGGTTATCACAAAATCTTTTATAAAATTTTATGCTTTTATTATTGAATTTTTTTTCTCAAATCCTCGGTTTGAGTTAAGTTACGCCCGAAGGTGCACCCGAATCCCTCAAACCAAGGCTCTAATACCAACTTGTAACGATGTAAATCTTCAAAACAAAATTTTGATTTCTTAAACATGTTTTCTTCCAAATCAAGTCATAAAAATCCAATATATCATATCATCATACAAAACATATAAATCCCAAGATCATAAAATAAATCCTCCGCTAGTGTGTACAGATCACGCCGGTGCCTTCGCACGGTCCTCGCTAGTACCTGAAACACATAACACTACAACTGTAAGCACAAATGCTTAGTGAGTTCCCCAAAATACTACTTACACACATATGCCCTTCCAGACCCTGACCTTCCGGTCCATGTGTCTCAGAGGACTTCCGTCCCAACCCGGTAAACCTTCCAGTCCTACCAGCTTCGACCTTCCGGTCCTCATCACAATGCCTTCCGGCCCATAACATAACGCCTTCCAGCCCACATCAAGCATAGCATACATAGCACATACAAACAGTTAACTTAATCACATACAAAGCATACTTCTCATAACATATCCGACCTTCCGGTCACACATAAATACTCTTCCGAGTACAGTATAGTGAGAAGACTCATCTCAGATATCTCGGTAACTCACTGACTCGGTGGGAAATGCGATATAGCCTCCGCCTAAACACATAAGGCAAATATTCCCATAAATATGACCGTACTCTAACCTTTCCTAACATCCTCAGAAGGGTAAAAGACAAATTTACCCCTCTTTTGACTCAAAGGCCTCGCTGCTGACCAAACCCTAAAAGCCAACCAAAGTCAACGGTCAACTTTGACCAGACTCGGCGAGTGCACTTGGGCAACTCGGCGAGTCCCCCTGTCTCCACTCAACTCCTTAGTCCAATTAACACGTCGAGTCCTTCCATTTACTCGACGTGTCCCCAGGCATGAATCACGGGGCTACCTTGACTCAACTCGTCGAGTCCCAAGAACAACTCGGCGAGTACATGCCATGCACAGATACTTTTGACCTCCTGAGGTCAGATCTGTTCCTCCATTCCATAGATCTGACCTTTCCAATCAATATAATCATGTAAAGCTCGAAACTTGATGCTTATAAACATACATAATGGCATCAAATGGAGATTTAGTCCCATAAATGGCAACCTAAGTTCAATCACCCCTCAAGGACCCATAAAGCATACTGAATTGAAGTCTCCGAACCTCTTTGAGTCTAGATCCAAAGCATAAACTTGATAAGGGACCAATTGCTCCACATAAACATCCCCAAAAAGGGTTAGAAAACCCTAATCCGTAGGTTAAATACCAAAACTGAAGAAAAGTCGAATGAATACCTCAAGTTGTAATCTCTGGACTCTGAAACCACTTCAACCACACCTCCTTCAGCCTCCTCTTGCTCTTGATCACCTCCTTTTTGCAAAACCAAGGAAAGAAAGATCAATAAAGGCTTCTTCTTCCTTCCAAACGATATAGATCACTAAGGGATCTCTCCAAAGACTGGTAGCCGCAATGGGAGGCTAAGAGTACCCTTAAATAGGCTCCAACCCCGGAGGATTTAGGGTTTCATTAAATAGCGTGGACTCGCCGAGTCCACTCATGGACTCACCGAGTCCAAAGTGAATCCGGATGAAAAATCACGACCCCACTCGGCGAGTCTACGCATCAACTCGCCGAGTTCCTTCTCATAATTAAAAAAAATAAATATTAAATAATATACCTGGGATTCCGGATGTTACAGAGTTTTCTCCTCATGTTGAGTGCTAGGGTTTGAAGTTCCTTCACCACATGACTCTTGAATTTCTTCAAGGTTAACTTGCCCCCCACTGTTTCCTTGGCTTATCAACTATCTTTCTCTTAAGATAGCCCTCCTAGCTAGAAAGACCACATTCTCACTAGGTCTATAGAAGAGGTAACCAAAGGATTTATGTGGGTAGCCGATGAAAATACACCTCTCACTTCGAGGTTCAAGCTTATCATGAGTCTCGTGTCTCACGAAAGCCTCGCAACCCCAAATCTTGATGTGGTCTAGTTTTGGTATTTTACCAATCCACATCTCATGAGGAGTTTTGGCAACTTTCGTTGTAGTGACTAGATTAAGGATATGGGCGGAATTCTCTAAAGCATATGCCCAAAATGAGATTGGTAGCAAAGCAAGACTCATCCTAGAACAAACCATATCCAACAAGGTTCGATTATGCCTCTCAGATACACCATTCAACTGCGGTGTCCTGGGAGGTGTCAATTGTGAGACAATCCCACATTCCTAAGATAGTCGAGGAACTCTAAACTAAGATACTCACACTACTAGAAAAAAGGCCTTTTACGACGCTCATTGCGCGTCGTAAAACGCTCAGACGACGCGCAAATGCGTGTCAAGGAAGGCCCTGTCATAAAGAGAGACGATGCGCTTTTGCGCGTCGTCTATAGACGACGCGCATTTACGACGTGCGATTATGACACGCAATGTGTATCAAGGAAGGCCCTGTCATAAAGGAAGACGACATGCATTTGCGTGTCGTAACCTTATGACGCGCGTGTTTATGACACGCAATGCGTATCAAGGAAGCCCCTATCAAGAAAGGCCATGTCATAAATGAAGATGACACACATTTTTGCGTATCATAATTTTAAATGTTTAAAAAAATATTATTTATAGATTTGCTTATTTTCAAATTAAATTTGTATTTAATGTTTAATAATAGATAATAAAATATCATATACAAAAATAGAATCCATTGCATAAATTTAATGTCATACAAATAATCGTTCCATATGTAAACAAATATATACCAAAAACATCATGTCAAAAAATTGTAATACATTTATATTAAGGGGATCTAATTGTACATTGTTATTAAGAGGTTTTCCCCAAATATATAACATAATACTAAATTGCTATTAAGGGACACCTTATGCAATGTAAAGCTATAAAAACTAAAAAGATATACACAAAGATGATAAACATCAAATTCCAACTAAGTAGAGTTGAATCTTGCCTTTCATACTTCTTTAAGACTAATATTGAACCCCTGATCCGATAATTCTTGTGACCTGATCAAATAAAAGTCAAAAAATTAATATGTTAATACAATTATTAGAAGAATCAAACTTGGAATGTTAGTTGTAAAAGACGAAATTACCCTTTTCTCCATCCAAAGAATTTGGGATTTGGAATAAATACACTACAATATGAATTACCTAATATCAACAATGACAAACACAATGACAAGAATACCCGCATACAAATGGTAAATATTATCTGTAAAGCTATCAATGATATTCACAATGACAATCTTTGATCATATAAACTAGAGAGTATATCATCACAATTCCATCTAACACCACCCATTAGAACACGTAAAGCTACTCAACCAACATATCATGTCATGTAATGTATTTTTTGTCAGTATATCTTCACATAGAAAACAAAAGTGAAATAAATAAAAATAACAACCTTCTCATTTACTGAAAATGGATATTGTTCACATATATGGGAGCCATTTTCAGAATTACCATCCCCATTTACCTGAAATCATTCATGCCATTTTAACTCAAATAATTTATTTATAGTAAAAAAAATATTTATAATTATAGTGTTTTGATTATATAATATATACCCATCTGTCACTGACTCCTCATTCGTCATAAGAATGAACAAATATTTTAATTAATTACCTTGAAATGATAATAATATAAATACTATAACACCATGGCATGGTATATTTGAATAATACCTAGTGTAGCATCCAAGATAAGACGTTGACTTGTTGCTTGAGCAGATTTTGCAGTGTATGCTTTAAGGGCATCATCCCACCGTTGCAGCTTTTCATACCTTGTATTTGGAAGCAACATAAACAATTAATATTTTGAGAAAATAAGACAATGTAAATGATTTCAGGGTCCTGGAAATATACCATGATTCCTTCAGTTGTAAATCCAAACAGCATCCCATATATAGTTATATACTTAAGAGAGTGAAAAAAGGAAAGTGAGCTAGTTTCTATATATGCTTACCCTCCAAAAAGATAGAAGTGAAAGTATCCAAAAGAAAGCACTTATCCACCTTGATTCCTTATATGCAATCCACACCTGATCAAAAGAAGCAATCAAACATTATTGTTATAACAAAAGTCGAAAAATCTCCTTTTCACTATAGTTGGAAAGTATATAATAAACAAAGACTTACTGCTACAATGACAATACAAAAATAGAAATCGGTTGTTGTTGCTATCATGCACCTGTGAGCATTTACAACTATGTATGAGCATTTACTATTACACTTTTTTACATAAATTAAATAAAAGGGAAATTTTAAATGGTACCTTGATAATACATTGGCATTGAATGTAGATCCATCAACGATAAGCACATAAATAAAAGTTCCCAGCATCAAGTAGCCTAGTGCAGAAATGATTATTTTTGCAATTAAAACAAAATGTCCCCTTTTGTATCCCATGGCATCCCTATATAAGCCAAATATATAATAAAATTACAAGCATTTTAGCAAACATTTTTACTTGATTTTAGTTTTTGTTATCGTTATTGGACATGTCCCTCAAAAGATATAATGGATCCTTTGATGATTCTTCTGGTGACAACTTAAAGAACTGCAGAGCCACGTATCATTTGTAATAGGGCTGTAGAAGGAATGAAAATTTACTTAAAACATGTTACACTTGTAATTAATAGTAATAATAATAATAATAAAGTTTAATTACCTTCCTGCAAAAAGTACAACAGGTATCAATACAGCTGCCTTGATCCAGCATGATTCCTTGTAGACTATCCAAGCCTAAGATTGCAAGTATATACACAACCACATATAACTCCATTTGATTCAACAAGCTTGTAACACCATGGTCAAGATCAGTTCCAAAATCCCCAGTAAACACGCCACCTGAATAGAACTGGAAACCCATGCCACTGGCATCAATGGCAACTGATACGGGTTGATTAGTGACTGCCTGTAACAATGCGGATTCACTGTTGGCTGGCACTTTTTCATACCCAGTAATGGTGGCAGCATGGACAGCTTCTTCCTTGGTGTTGCAGGTTCCATCTGTTGCCTGATATGGGTAAGCCACCTCAGTGTTGATGCCTTTGTTTTTAACGATAAACTCAAAGCCATCTTCCATCTCGCCACCATCACATCCTCCGTTTTGTTTTTGGGGAGTTTTGATTGGTGTTTGTTCCTTTAGGGTTCCGTTTTCAGAATGGTTTCCTGTAATCAAAGATTTTGATATTAGTATGGAATTGAGTTCCAAATATTCAAATTGCAGTAAAAGAAATGATCTTACTGTTACCGTTTTCCGTAGAGCGACCATTTAAAGGAGGGGAAGAAGCAAACCCAGTGTAATCACCTGAATTCAAATTTTTAAAAAAATGAGATAAAAAATGATTATTTTTATTTTTAAGGTAGCAGCAGAAAATTAGTTTACCGTTTTTTTGTGCTGGAGAAGATGCGTTTTTTAATTTTTCAGCAGATGATTTGCCAGGCCATTGTTTAAGAGGGCGAATAACCAGAGCTCTTGGATTCTCCCTTGGAATAAAAAGAGCATCTGCTTTTGGTGTGCTGGTAGTCTCTTCATCATCACTAAAAAACGAAACCTGTAATTGTAAAAAAAAAAAAAAATCAGATCCATAAAAACAATAAGGGCAAAATAGTCAATATAACAACAGATATTACCTTTGGCCCATCGTTTTTCGGGTGATACTTTCTAGCACCCCACGAATTTTTTACCAACCAGTACTTCATGCCAAAGCTGTGTATATGATGTATTCACCATCACCACAGACAACAACATACCTCCTATTTGGGTTGTGCTTCAAGCTCTGTGGAAAAATAGAAAAGTCAAAGTCCATATGGTTGACTATTTTCAGTTTAAAGGAAGGTAGGAACAAGCATAACTCACTTGTGGATAAAGATCACATGTTCCCAGTTCTTTAACTGCTAAAGGCAGCCTCTCTCCATCAGAAACCTGAATAAAAAATAGATTTTTTTTCCCATTTCATTGTTAACATAACATAACATGTATATGGGCTTTAAAGTCCAAACCTCATGATCAGCTCCCACACTCTTGATGTTAATAGTTTGAATTTCATTATGTTTAGCCCATATAATTTTTCCACTATTGTCCATGCTGGCTACAGGCTCTTCACGTCCAATTTTCACCATTATGGTTCCTTCATCATAGCCAATAACAATCCTGTAAAAACAGTAATTAAAATAAATCCAGATGAATGAAGAAGCATCAAGATTCAAGACCCACAAAACAAAAAACAAAAAGTGCTATACAAACTTACCGACGTGAACCTTTCATGTATCCAACAGCCCAAACCCTTTCAAGTCCATAGTTCAAGGTGTTCTCAAGTCTGAATAAAAAAAAAGAGTGGCATAAAGTCAAAAAGTTTACATTTTTAACATATGTATAACGAGGGTATTTTGGTCTTTTGATAGGAAATGAAGAAAGAAATTGAATTCCTTCCATCCATCAAACATGGAATTTGAAGGAATCCAACAAAAATTGAATTCCATCCATTTGGAAACCAAACACACCATGGAATGGAATCTAGCATTCCGATTCTTTTAGAATCTACAAAACAAACACACCCTTAAAGGTAAAAAAACAAGAGCTCACTGTAAGTGGTTGAATGCCATATACGGACAGTACCATCTTCTGAACCTGTCATTATTATTGGAAGCTCGGGATGGAAACATACAGCAGAAACATTGTGTGTGTGACCTTCTAGAGTTTGGACACAGGTTTTAGTTAGCAACTCTACAGTAACAGATCACAGTTGTGACCGTATTGCTGGATTCTCATATTGAGATAGTAAAGGGAATCAAATCAGTTTAGAAATTGTAAGTAAATGAGATTCAATTCCTATTACATAAATTAAATTCCAACTCCTAAACACTAAATTGATTTTTTTATCATTATCAAAACACAATTGGCTGATTACTACTCATGTGTATGTATAATAATAGTAAATTGAATCTAATAGGAATACATAAATTTTTATTTACCTGTGAGGTTGTCACTGTGGCAGGTTGCTTTGAACCTTGTTCATTAATCTTTGGACAATCCCCTTTTGGTTCAAACATTTAGTCAAACACCTAGTGTGCATAAAAAAATCAGGTACTTATATCATAAAATATTAACAATTCCATGAAAATATATGAGAGAGGGTAAAAAGGCACAAAAAATCGTCCAAAAAGAAGGACCAGTAGGACATGAAACAGGTAACTATGGTTGAAAAAGGAAGAATTACCTTTGAAATAGGCCTACTACGCAGATGAAATAGGCAACAGTGGTGGTATAGTGGTGGTTCTGGGCTGTTGCGAAGGCAGTGTGGTGGTGGCTCAGGGCTGGTGTTGTGGTGCGATGTTGTAACGGTGGAGTCTGAAAGCAAACACAAATTGTGATGGAAGCTATTGTTGTTGGTGATGTCCGATTCATCAAAAGAAAATCATTCTTCGATCAATCTTCTATTTTGTGAAAGAAGATATTACTATTTCAAATGTGTTATGTTTGATTAGGGTTTGCACATAGAAGGAAGTGAAAGTCGATCGGAGAGGAAGGGGTTTGCAGAGAGAAAGAAGGGAGAGAATGAAGTCGATTTTGGCGGGTGTAGAGAGTAGAGAGGAAGAGGAAGCGGGTGTTCAAAATTTTGGGGGATTTAGTTTCCCCCCTTACCTATCAAGGAGTCCCAGAAATGCGCGTTTATTAAAATTATAAAGCGACATTTGTAGAGGACCCCCGTTTTATTAGGTGCCCTCCGTGTTTTTAATATTTTTACATGAGACACTAATTTAAGGGCACTCAGTAATGCGCGACCTAAATCCTTAAAAATTTTGAAGAGATGACACTTTTTTAATGTCGCTCTCTAATGCGTAACATAAATCAAAGAGCGTCGTGTTTTGCGCATAACATAAATCAAAGAGCGTCGTGTTTTGCGCGTCGTAAAAGGCCTTTTTTCTAGTAGTGTCACCACCTCGATCGGATCTAAGCATCTTAATGTTCCTGCCCAATGGATTCTCGACTTCTTGTTTAAACTCTTTAAACCTTTCAAAAGTCTCCGACTTATGCTTGATTAAGTAGACATATCCATATCTACTATAATCATCAGTAAAAGTCAAATAATAACAATTATCATCCCTTGTAGCATGTTTGAAAGGTCCACACACATCCGTGTG